CCTGTCTCAAGAAATAAGGATTGACATCAGAGTGAGATGGCTCATACTATCCCAGCAATTGGGAGGCCGAGGAAGGAGAATTGCAGAGGATTTGAGGGCAGTCTGGGTTTTGGAGTGAAATGCTATCTCAAACAACAACAAGCAAACCACCCAAGAGCTAAGGATGTATCTCAGTGGTATAATGTATCATGTACCATTCCCTAGATTTGATCTCTAGTACTGCAAAATCTGATAATACTTTCAGTTGATCAGGGCAGACTGAGGAACTCCTAGTTAATTTTCTTCTGTTAAGTCTTAGAAAGTTGAAAGTTTTGGTCTGGAGAGATACCTCAGCTGTTAAGAGCACTGGCTACTTACTCTTCCAGAGGACCTGCAATCAATTCCCTCTATCTACATGGCAGCTCATACCTGTCTATAACTCCAGTTCCAGAAGATCTGATACCCTTACACAGACATACAGACAGGAAAAATGCCAATGCACATAAAATAGACAAATCTTAAAAAAAGATAGTTGAAAGTTTCCATGTGGTCACTTTGTACTTGCAGAGATAATGCTGACATTTTCACAATGAAAGGAAGATGCTGGAAAACTTGGAACATTATAGAGAAATTATAAATTCCTGGACATAGCAGTTTGAGGCTCATGTTTACTAAAAAGGGTTCTGTTAGTTCAGATAAACTGATGAAAGAATAACAATTCAGCCAACTAGCTGTGTAAGAGGTAGAAGTAATTTTAAAAATATATACAGGAATAAAGACTCAGTAGGTACTCTTCTATAGTAATTGAAAGGAAATTGAAGCCTTTAATTTTTATTTAGTACAAATAATGTCAACAAGTTCAATCAAGCACATTAGTGTGGAACTCCTGTTTCAGAGCCACTAGCTCCCAATTGCCCAGTTTTATCTGCAGGAAAATGCCGGAAGCCCTTTGAGTATTAGTCTTTACAGTTTTAAAATGGAGAAAATATTAGTATACCTATCCTATGGGGCATAAAAGTATCCACACAGTGCCTGCTACAAAAAAAAAGTTAACAGTTTCAGAGGTTTAGTTCATTGTCATCATGGTGGGACATGGTGGTGTGCAGGCAGAAAAGATGCTGGAGAAGGAACTGAGAGTTCTACATCTTGATCTGCAGGCAACGGGAAGTGAAATAGCTCAGTGGGAATGGCTTGAGCATATATGAGACCTCAAAGCTCACCTCCACAGTGACACACTTCCTCCAACAAGGCTACGCCTCCTAATAGTGCCATTCCCTATGAGCTTATGGGGACAATTACATTCAAACTATCATACCTGGAGAATGTGACTAATGTCATTCAACCATGCAGATTTTTTTAAACAGAGAACCACGATTCAACATTCCATATTTTGGTGATGATGCCACTTTATGCCGGGGTTCAGAAGGTTTGTTACTATTTCCTGACAGTTTCAATATTTCACTAATTACTATGGTCTTGGAGAATGAATTAAAATTTTCTCTAGACACCGGAGTGTAGAAATAATTTTTTAAAAATAAAGATCAAACTGGTAATGTTGTGAACAGATATACACAGCATGCTAGTCACATAATTGATTCTCTTACCTTACAAAGAAGGTTAATTAAATGCCCTGTTTGATAAAGAGAGGGGAAAAGCAGTCCTTATTGTTTGTGCTTCTTTAAAATGTTTCCTGGCATTATCAGTTGCTTTGACTCAAATATGACCTTATCCTGCAGGCAGCAAGTCAAATCTTTACAAGCTAATCTGAGAAGTATGTGTGTGTGTGTGTGTGTGTGTGTGTGTGTGGTGTTACACTTATATGGCCACTTTGAGTACCAAACTTTACAGTATTAGCTAAACTAGATATGGATTAATCCTGGCACAAATCTAGACGTACTTTATTATTCTTTGTTTATTATCATATTGTTTTCAAATTCCAGGTCAATAAAGCTAAGGTGATGTTTAGAAACTTCAAGACAGGCTATGTGTTCTAACACATACCCGTAATCCAACCATATGGGAAGTAGAGGCAAGAGGGTCAGGAGTTAAAGGTCAATCTAGGCTAAATAAGACTATGCCCTCCCCCCCAAAAAACCCAGAAAAATAAAAACCCAAGCGACAAAATGAAAATTCAAGGTAGTATGCAATTTAATTTAAAAAGATAATAATCTGAATAAAATGAGAAAAATTTAATGTCAGGTTTATAAATTTTTGTTCTTTGACAATTTTCTACATGTGTATAACTCTGATTACTCTTGCCCAACCTTTCACTTCCTTCCCATTCTTGTCAGTCTTCTTTCCTACAGATCTCCTTCCCACATTCATAGCTTTTTGTTTTGTTTTGTGACCCTCTGAGTTAAACCAGAACTGACTGTGTGACCCTAGGTTTGGAACTAACCACTGGAGCTGGTGAGCTCCCCAATTGATATACAGTTGATGACATAATCCTCTGTAGCCAATAGTTCAGCAGTAAGGCAGGGGGACATACAAACTCTTCCACATCTATGGCTAATTGTAGACAGGGCCAGTGTTTTGCAGGCCAGGTGCTAGGAACTATAGCTGTGGTGAACATATGATTGCAGTGACTGTGTCATGTCTAGATATGTATGTTACTTTTAAAAGTATGGGTGTTATCAGAGCAAGGAGGCCAGACACTAATGAAAACAGGTGGCCCAGGTGATCCAGCCTTTCAGAGTTCCTCTGTTGCCGTTTCCTCAGAGTTCTACATTTGGAACAGCTTCAGGGCTACTGGCTGAGATGGCCCAACCTTACAGACTATTCTAGCTAAGAGTGCATATTAATCCTTGTGCTTTTCTATTGCACAGAGCCTGGAAATACATATTACCACTATCTTGCCCAGGACATGACCATTATTCTAATTGTCTCAGGGTCTCCAAAAGATGCCAGCACTGCCAGACAACAGGAAGCAGTCTAGAAAACATGACACCCACATTCTCAAGAGGTGGGGTAGTTTGCTTTTGGTTCTTCAATGGATTATAGATGTTTGTCATTGTTTAGGGGTGTAGGAGAAACTGTGGCCAGCATACCTGAGCTTCAATTGCCTTGCCCTGGGTGCCCAGGCCAGCCTGCATGCACATGCGTGGCAGGCAATTCCTCCCTGAGCCAAGTCACCAAGCCTGCCTCAGTGCCCAGAGACTACTGATGGAGAGACACCAATGAGGAAAATACATGCAGCAGAGTCAGCAGCCTGAGCCAATAGGACCTTGGGAAGGGGTATAAAGGCAAGTCTAACTTCCTTAGTAAAGTAGTCTGCAGTATGCTGTGCTTCTCACTGACTCCCAGTGCCTGAGTCATTGGTGCTGCATCTTCTTACCCCCTCCCCCAAGGGTGTCCAAACAGGATATCCCGCAACATAGGGGGGTTGGTTACAGGTTGTTATTGGTCATGGTCAGGAAAAAGCTAAACCAAGGTGTTAGATTCAAGGATCTCTTCCTGAAGGAAAAAATGGGGATATAATATAGAAATGAGATGATAGGGTGGATTCTTGAGTCTACTTTGAACAACCACTGCTCTAAAATGTTTTACATTGGTATGGAATTTTATATATTGATACAAATTTAAGTTTGTTTTTGTTATATTGTATATATGTTACTATTCTTGTTTAAGTTGTTGTACCTTTGCAACACATTTACAAATGTAAAGTTTTAGTACTTGAAAACTATTTAAGATGATAAAGAAATACAGGTTAATAGCTAGTCATCTATAACAATCAAACTTATACTCATGTTAGGTATGTTTTCTTTTTTTGAGATTTATTCAGGCCTCACAGTTTTAAAGTTAGTTTCCTTTTTTTTTTTTGATGTCTGGTTTCATTTTTTAATTTAAATTAGAAACAAGCCTGCTTCATATGTCAATCCCCACTCCACTCCTCTCCCTCCCCTCCTCCCAGCCCCATCCCATCTTCCCTCCACTCCCCAGGGAGGGTGAGGCACTCCATGAGGGATCCCCAAAGTCTGTCATATCATCCGGGGCAGGGCCCAGGCCTTCCCCCATGTTTCCAGGCTGAGAGCCCATCCCTCCACGTGGTATGTTTTCAAGGTCACACAGAGATATATTTTAGATAGGTATGTGAACTTCAAACATTTCAAAGACCTACAGAATATGACATTTAAAATGTTTCAATAACATAAGACTTCTCATAAATGAGACACATCTGCTCCTGGCAGCACCAACTTACTTCAAAAAAGGATAGTGGGCATCAAAGAACCTCCATGTGGAGTTTGATTTCTTTGTGGCAAAAGCTAGACATTTGGGCAAAGGGCTGCCTTTACCTTAACTGTTGACAATATGCTTTTCAAACTGGACAAGCAGCACAGAAAAGGAAGGTACTGACTGGAATCTTGAATTTTGCAAGCAAATGGACAGCACTAGAAGAAACCATACTGAGTGAGATAACCCAGTCACAAAAAGAGAAACATGGTATATACTCACTTATTTATAGATTTTAGACATGAATCAGGGGAGTGCCAGCATACAATTCCACTGCCAGAGAGTCTAGGAAACAGAACCTTCATCCAGTGACTGATGGAAGCAGACACCCATAGCTAAACACTAAACTGAACTCCTGGAACCCAGTGACAGAGAGGGAGGAGTGATAAGCAAAGGGGTCAAGACAGGGCTGGTGAAAACCAACAGAAACAGTTGACCTGAAAAAGGGGAGCTCTTGGATCCCAGACTGATGGCCAGCATGGGACTGATCCAGACCCCCTGAATGTGGGTGTCAGTGAGGAGGCCTAGGCAATCTATGGGGCCTTGGGTAGTATTTATCCCTGACATACAAATGGACTTTGGGTGCCCATCCCACAATGAGGGATGCTCTCTCAGCCTGGACTCTGGATGAAATGACAGACTCTGGAGATCATCCATGGAGGGCCTTATCCTCCCTGGGGATCAGAGTGGGGATTGGGGGGGGGCTGGAGAACCTGGGGGGATGGGGGAGGAGGGGAGGAAGAGGGAGCTGGGATTGACATGTGAAGCAAGCTTGTTTCTAATTTAAATAAAACATTTAAAATAGATGTAAAGTTTATAAGGTTGAGAAACATAAAAACTCAAGTTATTTATCTAAAAGATGTTTTAAGGTCTAAAAAGATATTTTTAGAATGGAAATACAAGTTATAACAAAAATGGCTTAGCTATAAAACTTTGGACTAAGGATAGATAATGCACAGTTTTCTCTAAATTAGCCAATACAAATAGTTTGGAAACTGTGAATGTAATTCTTACCTGATAATTGTTCTTAGTGTATATAGTTTCCTTGTATTAGAGTTAAGACCTTTCATTTTATTTAGACAAAAGTGGGAAATGTTGTGGAATATTCCTTTACCCAGTGTGAAGATGTGTCACTGTGATTGGTTTAATAAAAAGCTAAATAGCCAATAGCTATGCAGGAATTACAGCCGGGACTTCTGGACAGAGAGAGCTCCGGAAAGAAGAAAGGTGGATTCACCACACAATTGGAGAAGTACAGAATAAAGGTAACCAAGCCACCTAAAAGAACATAGATTGAAAGATATGGGTTGATTTAAGTTATAAGAACTAGTTAGGATCAAACCTAACCTAAGGCAGAGATTTAATAATTAATAATATGTCTGCTCTGTGTTGTTTTTTGTGAGCTGGTAGCCCAAAGAAAAATTTGTTTACACTAGTTGAAACTCATAGGAATGAAGGACACAGAGTGGAACCAACTGTTTTCTGTAACTAGGCAAGCTTCCAGTGGTGGGAATGGGACATCAAACCAGTCACAAAACTTTCAACTTAAAATTTCTTCTGCCTACAATATGTTCTGGGAAAATGGTGGTGCAGAACTTGTGGGACTGGATAATGAATGACTGGTCCAAGTTCAGGGCCACATCAGGAGAGGGAGACTGTGTCTGACACTACCTGGATGATCTGGAACCAAAGGTTGGATAGCCCAGGGACCTAGGATAGAACCAAACATGACTGGGGAAAAAGTCAATGAAATTATTCCTATTAATATTCTGCTATATTAATAGATCAGTACCTTGTCCAGTTCTCATCACACAGGCTTCCTCTGGCATCTGATGGGAGCAGATGCAGAGACCCACAGCCAAACATTAAGTGGAGCTTGGGGGAACTTCATGGAAGAAGTGGAAGAAGGATTGTAGGAGCCAGAAGCATTGATGGCACCATAAGAAAATCCACAGAATCAACTAAACAGGGCTCAAAGAGACTAAAGGGAGCCTGCATGGGTCTGTATGAGGCCCTCTGCATACATTTTGTTGTTCTTTAGCTTGTGATTTTTGTGGGACTCCTAACAATGGGAGTAGAGACACCTCTGACTCTTTTACTTGCTCTTGAGGCCCCTTTCCTCCTATGGGGTTGCCTTGTCCAGCCATGCTATGAGTCTTATTGTGACTTGTTATGCTGTGTTCATTTGCTGTTACTGGGAGTCCTGTTCTTTTCTGAAGGGAAACAGAGGAGGAATCAATCTGGGGAAATAGGAGGTGGGAGGAGGGTCTGGGAGGAGTGGATGGAGGGTAGACTGTGGTCAGAATGTAATGTATGAGAGAAGAATAAAAAAAAGTGGTACCTGAGAGAAAATTGAGACTGACTCAGACTTGCTAAGATATCTTTTGAGTTTGTGGAGGGCTCTAAAAATAATGCATTTTCCCAAAATGCTGCTTTCTATTTCTTTGTGGTTGCTGAAGACTGTGATTTCTCCTGATGGTCTGCCTATGGGATTATCTGTTGCATCCTGGCTGTCATCATTGAAAACAATATCTATCAGGACAACTTCCTTTCAGTCAGGGTTTTTTGGTCATCTGATAGAAATGTGCTTTACGTATGAGTCTCCATGGAATACATACATATCCCAAATTTATAATTTAATAGCTGTACTTATTAGTGTCTTAACTTTTCTCTAACAGATCACCATAAAGTTAGTGCAATCCAATAACAATTTAATTTTTGCAGTTCTGTAAGTCAGACCTGCAGAGTCAATCTCACTGAGCTAAAGTAAAAAAAGTCAGCAAGATTGCATTCTTTCCAGAGGCTTTAGAAAGTCTCTCTCCTTGCTTCTTTCAAATTCCAAAGGTCATTTGTAGTCCTGTAGTTCCCTTCAAGGTCCCTTCATTGCACCATCCTAATCTTTCCCCTTCACCCTAATCTGCTTGTTTCTGCTATCATAGCTCCTGCCTTCCTGATGACTTCTTCTTCTTCTCCTCTCCCTCCTCTGACTTTCCTGTTCTTTTTTTGGAGACAAGGTTTCTATGTGTAACAGCCCTGGCTGTTCAGGAACTCACTCTGTAGACCAGGCTAACCTTGAGCTCAGAGATTCAATTGCCTCTGCCTCCTGAGTGCTGGGATTAAAGGCGTGCACCACCACTGCCTGGCTAAATTTCTTCTTATAAAGACTCTGTGATACTACATTTAGGGCCCACTCAGACAATTAAAAATAATCTTACCACTTTTAGATCCTTAGCATGATTACATCTGTAAGAGTCTTTCTGCTATATTAGGTCATGTTTACAGGTTCTAAGGAATAGGAGGTGGACATCTTTGGGGGTAGTTATTTTGCATACATATCACATTGAACTTTTAAAATTTTAGTCTAGCAAGGTTAGAGAATAGGGGGACAAAAGATGTATTAACAGTGTGTGTGAGGTTGAGTGAGGGAACAAAGGAGGTAATAAGGGAAAGGCTGCCAGATAATATATGAGGATTTGTAGAGATTCTGAGTCCCCAATGGGGAGGGAATAGAGATATGGTGTTATAAGATTCTTTCATTATTTATTTGAGAATTTCATGCATGAGTACAGTTATTTATATAGTTTTCACCTTTCCCTCTGTGTTGAGAATCTTATACACAAAGTATTATATTATGGAATGTAGACTGTGAATTAAGGTCATACTATAATTCCCTAAGGCAATTATTAGAGTTATAAAACAGTTTTTTCTAAATAAGAGAGATAGAACTCAACCCACAAGAAGACAACAATAAGGAAAAGGGTTCAAAACGAGGGAACAAGGTAATAGACTTATATACAACTCAATTGGAGGTAAGGATGAATGCAAATCAAAATATGTTAGTTGAAAGACACATTGTCAGATTAGTTAGAAAAGTAAAACTCAGCAATGTCAGAAATCTGAAGATGACACATCAATTATTATATTATTATTCTATCACTTTCTTTTAATGTTGTTATACATTCTACATATAACTTGAAGTGAATATATTAAATTTTATATTTTATATTACATTTTGCTGACTAGGTGAAGTGTAGGTATATACCTTTTATGATAATATTGTGAAATCTTAAAGTATAATAATTATTCAGAGATCTAAAATAGATGAAGAAATAAATATACAGGAGATAAAAATATTAATAGTGTTAACTCAATAGCCTTTGTAAATAAAATTTTCTTTTTTAAGTCTAGAAATCTTAAAAATATGAATAAATATGTAAGACAAACCTCAAGTCTCTTGTTTAACAGCATTCATATTCTAGTATCTTCAACCCTTATGTCGTGAAAAGTACAAAGAATGTGATGTTAGGTAAATACTGTTTTAAGGGAAAAATTAACTACATGAAAATATTTCCTTCCACCAGCCTTGGCTGAAAGTCAGCAATGATGGGCTATTCTAATTAATTGTTCTACACTATAATGGTAACTTTAAAGTTTTGACTACTGGGCTGGTTCTGCAGGTAAGGGTGCTTGTTGCCAAGCCTAATGACCTAAGTTCCATTTCACCCACATGGTGAAACAAAAGAACTGATTCCTGTGAGACACACACACACACACACACACACACACACATACACACACTAAAACAACTTGACTGTTACAATTTCTTTTAAAAGAAAGCTGTGCAAATGATGTGACAGACTTTGATGATCCCCCATGGGAGGTCTCACCCACCCTGGGGAGTGGATGGGGGTGGTAGGATGGGGAGGTTGATGCCGGTGGGATGGGAGAGCAGGAGAGTGGGAACTGGGATTGGTATGTAAAATAAGATTGTTTTAATTTAAATAAAAAATGATTTAAAAAGAAGGCTGCAAATATGCGAATATAGATTGGTATGTAAAATAAGATTGTTTTAATTTAAATAGAAATCATTAAAAAAGAAGGCTGCGAATATGCGAATATAGTTAAAGTTGTACTGAAGTCCTGGGTAGTCATTGTATCCTATTTCTTTTAGTTTTAGACAATTATCAATGACAATATTCAGATATTTAACATTCATCTAAAATGCATTGTGTATATAGGCATATCTTATTTTAAAAACAAAAAGTTATAATATGAACATAAAGTAGTCTAAGTCCTTAATATTTTTATATTGTGGTTTTTATGTAATAGTGCTGCTCCCTTTGGGGGCCATGTTCTTTCAAATTACCACATACCATAACCTGCAAGTGTTACCTTATTTAGCCGAAAGAACTTTGCAGATATAACTGACGATTCCATGAGTTTAATCATTTAATTTCATGTAATTACATAAAAACCTCTGAACTGTAAGCCACCCCAATGAAATATTTTCCTTTACAAGTGTTGCTGTGATCATGGTGTCTTTTCACAGCAATAGAACAATGACTAAGACAGGGTATTAGTATTTGGATATATTTATGGATTGTTAATCAATGTAACACATTAGGTTTAAATTCGTTTTTTATTGGCCACTCAGTTGTTTTGCACATTTTTGAGTGATTTGTAAATGTGCTGAATGTTTTGTATATCTTTGACTTAATTTCTGAGAATTTTCTTCTCCAGAAGCCGTGTACTAATTTCCACTCCCACACCTAATATACGAGTGCTACTTTCTTAAACCATGGAAAACGCAAACTATTATTAATTTTGTAATCTCTGACAATTTGATATGTTCAGTTGGCATCACATTACTAATTTATTTGTAAATCTCTTTTTTTCTTTTGTGAAATTTCCATTTGTCTCCTTTTCCTATTGTCTAGTTGGTGTTAGTTTTTTTTCATGCTTATTTACAAAAGTTCTCTGTTTACGTAGTAAGGATATTAAGGATAATTAGGATTAAATTTGTTAAAAATGAGAAGTGTTGACTTGGAAATGCCTTCCATGTTCTCATGTGCTTGCTACTTTCATAGGCTTGCATGGAGTGGGTGGAGAGAGAATGTGAGAATGTTTACTGGGAACATTATTGGTGGGGAATATGTTAGAATGAGTGAAAATTTAGTTCATCCTCTACATAATTCCAGACTGTGTTTCCTAAAATAATTCTGTCTACTTGCTTTCTTTCTGCTCAAAATCTCCCCATTTGTCTTTATTTGTCATCCATCAACCCAGTGCAATTCCATCAGTTAGGAATTTAGATTCTTTAATATTTGGGTTCCCAGTATTGTTTTCAAAATGGGACCACTGGGGCCAATAATATGGATTAGTGGGTACAGGCACTGGCTGCCAAGCACAATGACCTGAGTTTGACCTTGGAGAAACCACTTCTAGCAGGTTTTCCCCTGACCTTCATATGGGCATGTGCATATAGAAAATAAATAGTTAAATAGAATAAAAATAAATTTTGAAAATGTACTCAACTCACCACAACCTAATTAAACTTCATTTAGACTAGTCTAATGTGTTAAAAATTGAGGACATAGAGATAATGAAGTCTCTATCCTCCACATGTTCCACAGATGAAGGAAAATCTGGACTCTGGATGAATCAAAGGCCTTAATTTATCATGCAATCAAATCTGGAGTGAAACTAGTGATATAACTGCCTTAATAGAAGCATTCAACAGGCATCCCTTGGGAATAAAGACAGATGACCTGGTTAGAATAAAGTGTCAGAAAAGACCTCTTTCTTACAAGAAAAGAGGAAGACTACAACGCATTTTGACAGGACAGTTGTCTATCAAAGTCAAGTCATGGAGGAAGAGTGTTTTTAAGAAGATGGAAGATGAGGTGAACTTACTTTAGTATTTGAGAGGAATGGTCCAAGATGAACTGGGCAGGGTCCAGACAACCCATTGTATCAGGAGGCCAGGCATGATGGCACAAACATTTAATCCCAGCATTCAGGAGGCAGAGGCAGAGTCTACAGAGTGAGTTCCAGCCCAGCCAGGACCACACAAAGAAACCCTATATCAACATCCCCCAATTAATTAATTAACAAATAGAGGAATGGAGAGTAATTGAAGTATGTATTAACAAGGGCTGATCTTGTCATAGCAATACTTAAGAAAAATCACCTTGACTGCCCCCGGCTAAATAAATCAGAAGTGGGGAGCATTTGAGTGACCTTAAGTCCCTGTGGGCTTGACACAGTTTTGATTTATCCTTGTGGCTCTATTATTCTGCCCAGATTAACATAACATCATTTGTCATAACTTCTCTCTCTCTCTCTCTCTCTCTCTCTCTCTCTCTCTCTCTCTCTCTCTCTCTCTCTCTCTCTCTCTCTCCTCAAACTCATTATGCAACTGAGGGTGAACTTGAACTCCTGATTCTCCTGGATCTACCTTCGAAGTGCTGTGATTAAGAAGTATGTGTCACTGCCTGGTTTATGCGGTGCTGAGGCTCAAACCTCAGGCATTTTGTGCATGCTAGGCAATCATTCTATTAACTGAGTACTATCCAT